TGACGAAAAATTGCCTCAAACTTGGCCAAAAAATGTGAAAATTCAGTGACCGTTTTGAAAGAAATTTCAAACGTCAGTGACCGTTTCTGAAACTTTGAAATTTCAGTGACCGTTTTAAAATTTTCAGGTAACTTCAGTGACCATTTGTGAAATTAACCCTTTATAGAATTATATGATTACTCATTTCTTACGGCATTTTGAAGAGCACTATCACTGTAATTTAACTATCTTAAGCACTCATTTTATTTTATTTTTTGAGATTTTTATCTATGAAATCTATTTGTTAGCTATAAAAATGTATCAATTCACGCTAAAAGGACATAGAGATCTCATTATTATAATTGTCAATAAAGCTGTTGAAAATGAAAATGTTAGGAAGAGTAAATATTCTCCGTGAGAGAGAACCTTGGGAAATTAAATTTTATTTAAAATAATGAGAATCTCTTTTCAAGAAAAATGCGACAGACACAATGAAAGATCATATTTAAATGAATATGCATGGCAAAATGAGTATATAATTGAAATTACTAACGTGGTATCGAAACTGCACAACAGACCTGAGTTGAAGCCTTGCTGCCATACCACTCATTTACGAGAAGTGCTCGTATGTTTAAATTTTGATATAAAAATAAATCAAAATCTGAACAAGATGTGGAGAGAGGCATGTTATATGATTTAAATAAATAAACTTGCTCCCTCTCTAAATGCATGAACATTTAGATTGACACTAAATGACAGAAAATTGACTCAATGGGATTGAACTGGAATGCAACACGTAACAATAAAAAATGATGCACACCACTGTTGAACCTGCCTGGTGCCACACTGATGAACTTCAGTCTGCATCTCCCTTTGTTACACTTGTGCATTCAGTATCAAGGATTAGCAGCATAAACCCAAGTGAGAAACCACAATAACGACAGCCAAAAAGACCATAAACATGATGCCACCAATCAAACCAGCAACTATAAAAGAAAAACCAAGCAGATTCCATATGAAATGTTCTGAATCACTCTAGTGGTCAAATCAGTAAATTTCCACCTTCCACATCTCATCACTTAAGAAAAGTAGAATCAACTAATTGAAATAATGAGGAGCAATAACAACCAAATCGTATTTCTAGATCTAGAATTGGCAGATGCTCATTCAATATTATATTGCCAGTGCACTCTGGAGGTTAAAAATATGGTGAACGTAGATTTAGAGCGCAAATGTTCACCAGAGGCATCAACTAACAATGAGAAACCACACAGCATTGACTAAAGTATAATATGTACTCAATATAACCAAGAAAGTGTAAATTATCAAACAACATTACTTTTGAAACATCATCCTCTTACAGCATGGTGTCATGTATCTGGAAATCAGAAAACAAAAACGATTTGTAAAAATTCAAATTTTATATAAAAATTAAAGATAAAACTCTAGCTCACTCTATCAATTCAGTACAATCAAATTTAGTACAACTGCTGTCATATTGACAGACGTAGACAACAAACGAATCGCTGAAAAGGGGGAATAGCCTTCATGATGAATTGCCAGTCAACACATTGTTACCCTAAAACTGTTGCATTAGATACTTCACCCTATGCAACTGGTTCAACATCAAATAATTTACATGATCATGACCACCAGGTTAAGATGGTACCACCCCTATTGCTGCTTCTTGGACTGATAAGAATTTTGAGTCATTTAAATAAGTTGTGCTTTTTTCAGGTCGGACAAAACTCCTCTATCTTCATTGCCCCTCTCGTTGTACAGAACCTTCAGATCATTGGGAAAATATGTAAGTTAAATGATAAGCTCAAGGCCCAAAATAATGAAGACTATTCTCAACGGAGGTACCTTGTCAATGATCCCATACTCAACTGCCTCACTTGGACTAAAATATTTTGGACGCCTTATGTCTTCTTCAATCTGCTCGGGCGATTTTCCTATATGCTTCGAGTAGAGTTTAACCTTTGCAAATCAAACATGAAAGGTCCATGAGCATAGGTTCAGCTGTGTGTCAAGGATATACATTATCATTTTCCCATGCAACTTCCAGTGTGAATGAGTGTGTCAGGGCAATATTATGATGACTATTTCTCATGCAAGCAAACAGTTGGATTCAAAAGCATACAACGATAACACAAAACACGCCCAATTTTTGAAACTAGAAAACATGGGACTAAGAGGAGTGGAAACAATGGCCGAAATGATTGTTAACTTTACCAACTCAGCCTTCACATTTTTAACTTCTTTCCTCATAAGTTCAACATCTGATGCTTGACCTTGAAACCTTGCAATTGGCTGTAAGATTAGGCAATAGATATTAATATTAAAATAACACAAAGCAATATAACAAGTCTAATGTTAATCTCATGATATTTGTGCTACACTAGTTCCTAGAAACACTAACTGCTGCTTTGAGCATGAGCATAAATGTGCCTTGGAGGGGTGGAGATTGTTTGGAATTGAAGGAAGATTATCAAATCTCAAGAACTGGACATGAGAAAGAAAAACATGCAGTATAGATAAAAAGGACCTGCTTAATCATGATTGTTGATGATGGCAAGGCAGAACGGTTTCCCTTTGCACCAGCAGCCAAAAGCAAGGCTGCTTCTCCCCAAGCATTTCCAACACACAGCGTGAAAATAGGTGGCTTGACATATCTTCATGCCAGTTCTCGTTAGTTACAATGAATACAAGGAAAGTGAATTCACACACTCCAATAGTATGAAGCACATATTAAAAAATCCAAAATGTCTTTTTTTCCATCATATTTCTTTAAAATAATTTTATTTTCATTGCAAAAAATAGAGTTTTAAATGATTTCACTGAAGGAAAGAGGAAAATAAAAAATTCACACGAATTTGTCAAATGCCATGATTGTAGAATCTAGTAAGTTGGTAGATTTAGCTCAATCAAAAAAGTAGAACTTGATAACTCATAGCAAGTAGAAGACACAATCTACCCTCAACTTGCTCGATTTCAGAAAGATAGTAAGTGCACAAAATTGATGCATCGATTTTGATATTGATATCTTATGGTTGGGCCAGAGTTTCAAAATAGCTACACAAAGTACTATCTTGCAGCCCTTTCAAGCCTTAAACAAAAATAAGGAACTTCAATAGCATTCTGATGTATTACATAAAGATTTATAACCTCATAACATCATAAATTGCAAAAGCCTCTGTCTCATAGCCCAATTTCTCCCCACCCTGCAAAATTGTGAAAAATAAATAAAACTGTGAACAAGTCCACTTTAAATATGTTGGATCTTTTATTTTTTTTCTTTATTTTTATTTTATTTTATTTTATTTTATTTTTTTTTGCAGAAGCTTCACATTAAAAGCTTATAAGAACGATGATTCATTAACTTTGAGATTACAAGTTTCTTAGTGCAATGCACAGTACCCGGAGGGGGGGGGGGAGCCTTTACAAGCCAAATATAACTGAATTTTCTGAACAAAAATAGAAGGTAAAAACTAGTATGCTTTAATAGTCGAAATGGTTATACTTTTAACAGCAAATTATTCCAAAGCTCCGCCATCTAACCTATGTCTGCATGAACATTTTGCAGATGATGTTTCAATGCAGAAATTGATAAGGGTGGAAAAATTAACCCAAAACATGAACCCTGCTAAATCTCCAACAAAATTCAATTTTAGTATATTAACTTCAAGTGCATGCCAATAATGGATTAGGTTTTGAGGAAACAATTCCCCACTTTAAATCGCAACCCTAGAAGAACGTTACATGGAAACCAAATAAACGAAGCAGATCAAGTAGGAAACATAGTATTTATAACTTATGCTCAGATGACAAAGGTAAAGTATTCAGTAGAACATAGATTTGGAAAAAGAAAGAGACACACCAGCCCATTTGCCACTACTAAATTAAAACTAGCAACATTGGTATGTGTAAAAATTGATCATATTTATGTATCTATGCATATAATGTCTTTCGATTGAACAGAGGAAAATAAATTCTGAGGCTGTATAGCATCAGTTTTACAATCATTCATGAGGAATGGAAGCAAAGCTGCACCAGTTCAGGCATAATGTTAGTCTTAATTACAAATCCTTAATCTGGAAAAAAATCGGTTTCTATTCTTAAACTGCACAAGTTTCGAGCAATGATAGATAGCTAAGCCACTGGGTTACGAATTTGTAAATGATTTATAAATTCAGTCAAAATCAAACATTAATGTCACCACAGATTCATAACTACTCATTATTATCCACACATGTCGTGGAATACACTATTATTCATCTTTATATACCATTTAGAAATTTGCCAAACGGAGGCTAAGTCATCCAGATATTGTATCCTTTCCACCCAAAAAAATGACAAAGAAAATACCTTGTAAAGTAACAAGAGAAATACTTCATTAACAAAATTTGAAGCATCATGCTTGTAATAATTAGGTCTATCTAACCTTGGTTGTACCAGTGGAATTTATGTAAAGATAAATTGGCTTTTCCTCATCTTCATACTGAAGGTACAGAAATTCTGCAAGTATCAGTTCAGTGACAGATGGCACCAGAGACATGCCCAAGTAGACAATACGATTTTTATACAAATAAGATGCCAAATCTGGAGGAGGTTGCTCCCAGGCACTTCCTCTTGAGAAAGGGATAACCTGTTAAGAGAATTGTACCCAACCAACATTCGAGATACTAATGAGAATGGTGGCAGCATAAATCATCATAAATATGTAGGATATACTGTTAATGATTGCAATAACAGTCAAGACAATTACCAAAGCAAGTAGTGGACAAAAAGAACTAGAAGCATAGACACGACGACATTGGCATCTTAAACCAGATAGCAGACCACCATATAACAAAATTAAACAGGTCATATTCTCATGGGGCAGTTGGAGAAGAAAATGGTTTATGGCTTAGAAAGTAGATACACAGTACGATGACACAAAAAAATGTTTTAAACAATGTGCAATATGCTTATCAATAATTTTACCGATAAAGGATGACTTGAGTTTGCTGATATTATTCTATTGATAGATAAAATATATAGATATGCTACTGTTTATGGAGTGCAATATGTTAAACAAGTAAACAAATCAAAATAGTGGACATAAACAGCAACTAGAAGCATAACTACTAACAATCGGTATCTTATAGCAGATAGGAGATAATCATACTGAAAATTTTGACAAAAGCACTTCTCAGGGCTAGTTTGAGAAAGTTCTGTATGCCTTAGAAAGTAGATGTAAGATGATGGAAACAGAAAATATCTGATTAAAGTCGGTACATAGCAAGTATAACTGTACGAGACAAGAATGGCTCTTTCACCTTTTAAATATTGAACATTCCTGGTCGTGATGATTTACATATGGAGTGTTTCTCAAAAGAAGAGTTGAAATATTACAAGTAATTCAACCCGTTTCTCTAATACAAGAAAAAATTCATTATTCGCCGAGGGAGTAATTCCTGAGTTCATGACAAGTCTCACAAATGCTTATCCCTAAAGTACACTTCCTTGAGTTTGTGAACCACTGACACCTATCAATTTATGCAACACTGCCTGCAAATGAGTCCCAAAAATTTTGGCAAACAAAACGTGACCATCTTTAGAAACCTTAGCAAGCTCACTTTAAAGATTATCTCATACAAGGGTATTAATGATAAGCAGATTTTATAATATTCTTAATATAATCGTGTCAGTTACTTTTCTTGATAATATTGGATAATTAATATGTTTTCTTGGACAAGGTGAATAATTAATGGTGAGGAGACAAATTACAAAAGCTTGAGTAAAGAAAAGGGAAGAAAGGAAATTATAAATGTTGTTAACAACAATCGGCTGCAGTTTAACAAGCAGAGCCCCAAACCTAGGCTCATTCAATGTGTTAATTCATTTGTTTGGTCTTGGAAAAGAAAAAAAGAAGGCTAAATTAAGGCAAAAGAAATGCCGCCTAACGTGCAAAGTAAGGGGTGCAACAGAGATGGCCACACCAGGAGTCGAAAACGAAGGGAAAAAGGGGTGACAGAGGCCTCAGGACAGGAAATCTAAACCAAGAGATAAAAGACAAAAGTAAAAGCTCTCTTGGTTCATGACAGAGGTCCTTTCTATTATATAGCTTTAAATTCAATTATGTCATTCTAAATTTTTTGAACCAATTTAGATGATACCCTGATTAATAAAGTAATTTCTTTTTATTGTAGTAATCCTCTTTGTGTGCTCTTCAATTTTTATAGTTCTTGCTTCACGTGATAATTGAATTGAAATTTCTTTCATCATTATTATTAAGTAGTTTTTATAGCTAGGAATTTAATTAATTAATCGTCGGGTGATTCCTCAAGGAGTAATGCAACTTCCCTTTATTCTTAGTTTTCTTGTCATTGGATCGGACACATAGGACTTTTAAGTGCTCTATATTAAGAGAAAAAAGGATTTTATCTTAGATTTATCTTTACTTAAGCATACTTTTTAAATCTATGTAATGGCAATAAGTTGATTTTGAGTTGTCACTTTAATTTGAGGAATTAATTGATAAATAGAGAACTGCTAAGTTCATAAGAGAGGATTCCAAAGCCTTGGTAATTGTAATTTTGTAAGTTGTACTTTCAAATTGTTTACATCAAGTTTCTACTATTTCTGTGTTCCTAATTATTTTCAACAATTCGATTCTTCTAAACTAGGGCAATATCATAATTTGGGTGAGAGGACCTCATATGTGCATACATTTTCATTTAACACCTGAAGTACCACTTACTTAGCATTGTCCATAAGAATGGAGAACCATTAAAGCCTCCAAAAGCAGCCCTTTACTTTCCCAAATCTTCATGGATGTGAAGCATGTGAAGACTGCTGTCTCCAAGTTAAGATTTGAACAATTTTTGTTATGTGTCTCATAGGTCCATTAGCTTTCCCAAGATCAACATTTTCTTTTCCCCAAATACACCATGTCTGCGTGTGAAAATATTTCCTATTTTCTCAATATTTGCAAGAAAAGAACAGGGAAGTACTAAAGTACCTTGGCTTTCCCATCCCACAATGCAAGCCTACAGACGCACCATCACTACACAGTAGACAAAGTGCATTCTATATTGGCACTTGGCAGGTCTGAAGTCTAAATTAATGTACTTCACAAGATACTTTAACTAAAATGTTTAAAAAAGCTAAATTAGGATGAGGAGTTTGATATCTGTAAAGCGAGGCATAAGCATTGAGGTGCTTTGAGGCATAAGCTTCGAGATAGAACAAAAAACAATTCAAAAGTAAAAACATAATAAATATGCTCATAATATATACCATGACTCCTTTTAAAAAATCCATAATAAACTAAATAACAAAATTAAAAGTCAAACTTTCAAACAAACATACAATAGATCAAAAAAATAGAAAATAATACTTTCTTAAATTAGTAATCATGTAACACAATTATAATCTATTACAAATGTGAAGACAACTAAAAAATTCTTATATCATCACTACTAATATAATCTGTAAGGGAAATTAATATCATTTTCATCATCCTTCCTTCCCATTTTCCTTCCACGTAGGCAGAAAAATAAAATAAGACAACCCGTAAAACATTGTGGGTTGTAAAGAAATAACTCTAAGGCAATAATTAAATGTTTAAGAAATAAAAGGTAAACGGACGAACACCTTAGTTGGCTTGAGGCATAAGCCTCACAAATGGCATTTAAGGTGCTGGTTTTAAGGTGTTTTATGATAGCCTCATGTGAGGCCGAATTGCCTCAAATAGTTTTCAAACCTATATTAGTTAAGAAGGATGAAATGTTTTCATATCATTCATATGCAGTGAGGAATGCTTCCAAAGACCACAACTGAGCTCTTGGACAGGATCACCAGAATATTTGGAGGCTCCTTCTCAGGACTAGGAGAGGATTCATTTAGAAGCTTGCAAGGAAGTGACAAATGAAAATTTTGGAGGCCTTGACTTCAGGATAACCAAAGTTGCAAAGAAGGTTGCAATGAGAAAACACCAACAGAAAATTACAAAGAACTTTAGATTCCCTGAGGAAGGAAAAAACACAGAGAATAATCAAAATGATAATTTGCTTAAAGCTGGATCCTCATTTGGAGGTTTAGTAAAAAAATTGGGATAATGTATGTGCTGGCACCATCTGGACTTGGATGGTAAAATACTTTGGTTAGATAATGGATAGAACTTGGTCTGTACTATTGAGAAAATTGATTCAAGATCCAATTGCCAAACGTGAAATGAATGAATCTCATTTCATAGCCAAGCATTGCAAGCTGGACTAAAATTTGAATTCTTGTGACTTTTAACCTACCACACCAAGCCATCTACTGTACAGCATCAAATCCGACCTCTTGCCCTTAACCACCACCACCATCCCAAATGTTGATGATGACGGGTGAATTCCTCCAAGGAGAATTATCTCAAAATAAACATACAATCTTCATCCATTATGAAGAACAGACACAGTAAGCAGCAATCATTTTCTTTGGCTGGCTTATATGGATAGAATTACCATGAAAGATAAACTCATCCCCATTAGTTTCAGTGACCTTTGCAATTCAACACGGGAAAAAAATATTCCTGCTTTTTATGGACTGCCCAGCCGTGACTTTCGGTTGCAATTTAACCTAGTGATGTGCCTTTTTTTATGAGTGTCTGAAGCTCCTAGGATCCTTGCCTATGGTTGAAAATTAACTGCATCACAGAAGTACTCAGTCTTTAGATAACTCTTGTTCTGTTTCCTTTTTCCTTTTTCCACTTAAGCTGTTTGGAAAAATAGGAATCGCATCAATTTTGGACTCTTCAGCTTAAAGACAATCTTGATACTTTTTCCGCTTCTTAGAGAGGGAATGAATCGAACTTGAAATTTGAGATTACCCAGCTCACCTCTTGTTCCAAGTTCTATTTCATACTGGAACCCAGCAAAGATAGGGACTCTACAAGTTATATATCGTTCGAGTGGGTAAAGGTAACACACACCAGCTCGGGTGGTGGTCTTATTTGAGATAGTGAGGATCAGAGGATTAAGAGTTTTGCTGGATTTATGGTAATGCAACCAACATTTTACCTAAGCAACAGGTATTGAGGGATGATTACTACCTAAAATTCTAAACATCAATTATCTTGAAGTTGATTTAGATTTTCAGCCAGCTATTTAACTTTTCAATGGGGAAATGCCATTAACCATCATTATTCTGCATTCATCATAACCATCACCAAAGACTAGTGGGGAATCAAATGTGGAGCCGATCAATTCTACACAGTATTGAAGTTAATAGTAGATGTGCTAGCAACAAGACAGAATTGAACTTCATGATAGAACAGATGGTCAAGAGTTAGCATAGGGAAAAAAAAAAAAAACTGGAATACGCACGAAGCAAATTATCTACAAATATCTAATACCAATTTTACTACATTCCGTTTGTGATTTTTTGAACTACCTGTTCATTAATAAAATTAGAAATATTCCATATCAACAATATAATTAAATTAAATTAAAGCCCATACTTAAATAAAAATCCCCAAATAACATCATCATATATTGTACATACAACAATTCTACATTATTACCATGTGCCCAACAAAATTAAAAAAGAAAAATGCATAGCTCTCAAGTTCAACTCATAACAAAAACCCATAGATAAAAGGCACGTGTAAGTGTAGCGAGAAGGAGTACCATGGTAACGACACTGCGTTTGCAGCGAGAATCAGACGAATAAGGATTGAGGGAGGCGGGTCGGATTTTAGGACCCGAAAAGTCCCCCAAGACGCTGCCACCCACGAAAGGAGAAAGAAAACTGGGGGATAAAGAGGCTCTGACAGAAGACGGAGCAGATAGAATCGGTTTCGGATTCGGGCTTGGGGATGCCAACTTAATTCGGGTCGTTGGAAGCAAGTGGGAAGCCATTGTTGCTACCAACATAGCAAGAGTCTGAGCTCAGTGTAGGGGGAGATTGCCTTCAGTGGAAGTGTTTGGATTAGAGAGGGTTTTTGGAAAATTCATTTTAGTACATGTTGGATCCCCATTATTCAATAATTATTTTTGTGATGCTCTTTTCAATTACACATTTTATCAATAAAATAAATTATACATAAATTTAAAAATTTTCCTTACTTTTTAGCCACGTATTATCCAAAACAAATTATTACAAAATTCATTTTAACATAAAAATGGAGCTCAAACAAGGGCTTAATAATGGAACAAATATGTAATTAATAACATAATTATACTAATGATTTTATTTTTTTTATTAAGTTACCAAATTTATAGCCCCCCCTTCCCCATCTGGCTCCATTATTTGAAATTTTAATTATTTGGATAGTATTTTTTGAAAAATGTGTGATTAAAAAAAAAAAAATTTTTGAAATTACGTGTAATATTATTTCATTGGTGAATGTTTGGTTGATAAGAAAAGAGAGAAAAATGAATTATAATTTTAACAATCATGCTACACTACCATCTTGGTTGACAACTTGGTTGACATTCTCTAATAAAAAAACATAAATATCTTTCTTTTTATTCTTTAGTCAAATCAAGGTT